GCAGCACAAGCATCACCTGACACGGACCAAGTAATTAAGAGTCTACTTGCAGTGGCAGCATCAAAGGCAGCAGCACCCATAGCTCGATAGCCTTCAACCTCACATCCTGCACCCCAAGAACTAGACCCCTAAGTCACTGAACTCTGAACCCTGAACTCTGAACCCTAAGCCCGAAACCCTAAACCTTAAACCCTAAACCCTACACCCTAAACCCTGAACCCTAAACCCTAAACCCCAAGCCCTATAGACCCAGACCCCTGAACCCCAAACCACTGCAGACAAGACGCCCGGAAGATCTAGCGCTCCCTTGGCGGCTGCATGATTCAGTGCGGCTTTGCGGCTTCGGGGCGTTGTGGGCGACGGGATGTCAAAGGGGTTTAGGGGTTAAGGGCCTTAGGGGTTTAGGGTTAAGGGCCTTAAGGGTTTAGGGTTCAGGGCCTTAAGGGTTTAGGGTTAAGGGCCTTAAGGGTTTAGGATTTGGGGTTTAGGTTTTCAGGGCATCATGAGTTCCAGAATATGCATTGAGGCTCACTGATGCGGTCATGTTTGATGCATCCTAGAACTTCGGGCAAGGGGAGGGAGGGTAGCTGAGAAAGCGGAGAGAGTTGCAGACACCGACACTCCTAACATGAACCGAGGGCTTCTGGCTCAATGTTGAGAGCAGCGCGACTCTAGCAGGGTTTACGGCTTAGGGTGTAAGGGTTAGGATTTAATTATGGGTTCCGGGGTTAGGGTTGAGATTAGGGATTAGGGAGGGCTTAGGTTTTAGGGTACTAGTGAAGGACTCTCCAAGCACTCGTTGCTATTACCGGCACCGCAAGCAGTGAAACCACCCAGCCGAGGACCGGCACATGCAAGAACCACATTACCCAGAGGCCCCAAAGTAGATCCTTTTTGGGATTACCCTATAGGATTCTATATACGAACCCCAAAAAAGAACGAGTTTGGGGCCTATGGGTGTTCGTATGATTATCGAGTCTATTTTTTGCCGTTTTGGGATCGGCTTGGCGTGGACTCAAACGGAACGGAAAAGAGCGATACATCTTGAACTACCGCCTCTGCAAAAGCATAAGTGGATCCGACCATCCAGAGGGCGTGGGATACTTCCCCAAATCACAAAATTGTTTTTGCTAATCCCTACATTCCCTACATTCTGCTCTAGAGGTACTTTGGAGCCTATTTAGGCCAATGCAACAGCGGCCGGACACATATGCAGTCTTCCTGCAGCTGCGTGGCTCTCTCATCATCACCACCCGTGTTGTGGCAAACATGGCACTTGGGCACGGTTGCGCCCATAGCAACGAGCTGTCTAAGGACGGCTGTTCCTAAAGATCCTAAAGCCTAGACACTGAAGCCTAAACCCTGTGGTCCTAGGCTTTTGTTCAAGATGTCTGGGCTATGGCGTCGAAGGGTCTCGGTGGTCTGCACTCCCCTGGGACTCCTGTGACCTTTTCAGATGAAGGCCAGAGATTTACAGGCCTCAGCCTTCTCTGAGCCTGCAAGGCATCATGGATTTTCAAGGGCACTATCTATCTATCCATCTATATATATATATATATATATATAAGAGGGTACTTCGATGGAGACGTTTAGGGCTAGTATCAGGGATATTACTATAAGGGCTACTTGTACGGGTTGCGGCTATATAGGATTACTACAGGGGTCACATGCAACTCCACTTGTTGACTCTCTCAACAAGCGCAACTCGCAACTTGTCCACAAAACTGTGCTATAGTTCATGGTCGAGGTAAACCTCGAACCACATGGCGTGGCATGGGATTTATGGGGAAGTGGTTTTAGGTCTTGAGCATTCCGAACGAGTTGGTCTAAGGGTCCTGTGACGTGTAGGCCTTGGAGGTTACCCGTTAGCATTTGGAAGTTTAGAGCTTGAAGCCTCAAGTGTTTGGGGTGTGCCACATATGCAAAGCCTACACCCAACAATCAACCCATGACTGGTCAAAGTGCTCAAACAAAACGAACCGGAAATGGCTAGACTTCGATTGTAGCCTACACCTTATGAACCCCAATTCTTAAGCTCTAAACCTAAACCCTAAACCCTAAACCCTAAACCCTAAACCCCTAAACCCTAAAGCCCCATCAACAGCAAAACCACAAGCCCGTGAGCCTGATCCCTGCAAACTCCCCCTAAACCCCTATAAACCCTAAACCCTTAACCTTAAATCCTAAGCCCCTGAAGCCCTGAAGCCCTAAATCTCAAACCCTACAGCCCAAAGCCATTGAGCCGCAGTTTTTGGACGGAGCTGTGCTGCACCGCGGCTCATTTTCTGGTAGTTTCCTATCTAAAAATAATCAGAATCGAATAATGTCTAATTACAATGCGGAAGCGAAAGGTAATAGGAGTCTCGGGTGTGGGGTTGAAGCCTTTAATACAACAGATTAAAGGCTCGAGACGGCGAAGAGAAGCATGTCGCAGTGACGGTCGACCAATGGTCGCTGCCTTCAAAGCTTGCTTAGGCGCTGCGGGGCTTGGGTTTAGGGTCTGAGGCAGTGTTCCCTTGCTGTACGAGTTTTCGTTCAAGGAATATCTATCTGAACACCACGTCCCTAAACAAGAAATCGAGGCCTGAAACCCTAGAAAGCACCGGAAATCATAGTGGGAGTCTCAGAAGCTAAAGGATCCGAAAACAAAGACCTGTAGGGTTTGGGGGTGTAGGGTTTGACGGCGCTACCGCCTGACCTCCATCCGGACTCACAACCAACCTAGACCCTGAAACCCCCAATCTAAGCCCTGAGCCCTAAACTTTAAACCCGAAGCCCTAGGACCTAAACGCCCAAACCCCAAACGGGAATCCGAACACTTAGGGTTTAGGGTTTAGGATTTGTGGTTTAGTGTTGAGCCTTTCGGTCGAGGTAGACACTGGAGCTTCCTCGGAGAGCCGGGTCCACGTACAGACTCTTATATTGTAAGATAGTCAAGATTTTCATAGTCGGTAGTATATGTGATATTAACAGCGAAAGCCTGGGCTTTAAGGGCTGTAGTGTTGGGAGCTTTTAGGCTTAAGGTTAGAGCATCAAGGTTTTCGGGAGAGGTTAGGGCTTAAGCTTTAGGGTTCAGGTTCAGGGCTTTAGAGTCTCCTGTTCTTTTTTGGAAGCTTTTGTGCTGTCGTGTTGTTTGGTTTCAGGTTCAGGTTAGCAGTGTTTTCCAAGCACTTAGTAGCCATACATTCCTCAACAAGATTCAGCTAAACGCAAAAAGTACTGTCAAAACTACTGGTTTGTATAGCTGACGCTTTGCTTAGAACTATGTTACACGCAGTTGTGACTTCTATCATGATCATGATCGAACTGTGGTGGTTTAGGTCTTCTACATGCATAAGACTTGCCTTGCCATCCAACTGTATCAGGACGAATCTAGTCCTATTTAAGCCAATAAACCCCATCCGGCATCCCTATGAACCTCTTCACTCAGCTCGTGTGCATGAATCAACACTTAAGCCCTTCGCCCTTCACCCCGCAACCCCAAGCCGAACCCCTAAACCCCAAACCGTCAATACTAACCCGTAAACCCGAAGCGGTGATACGATTCGGGCTTGCAGCTTCCGATCTGGCCCACTGGAAGATTTGGGGTTCTCGGAACTCCAGGGATATCTTACCACAAGGGTCCGAAGTCAACAATGAAGTACTGAGACTTGGCTACAGGATGGTAGTCTTGCAGGATTTGTTTGAGGGAGTATACCATGATTAAGTACTCTAGACCCAAGAGTACCCGGGGAAGAAAAAGGGTGCCCTTTTTGGTTTAAAGTTTAAAGGGGCTTATGAGGCAACCTGAACCCTACAAAAAGGGAATAAGGGCTTACTCTAGGTCCCAGTACTCTATAGGGCACAGTTGCTCTTGCAATGGTCCAGGGTTCAGGGACGATCCCCCGACCCCGGAGCCTTGTTTCCCGGTGGGCTACCTAATAATAATAAGAAGAAGAAGAATAATAACAATAATAATAGTAGTAGTAATAACAATAATCATAATAATAATAATAGAACCGATTTTCTCCTATCATTTCACAAGTACAAGATCAAACAAGGCCGCGTAATGACCATGAAGTGAGAGTGTCTACTAGGCAGCCACGCCTCCACCCTACACGTAGGTGTAAAGTTTAGCAAAGATGCGAAGAAGACTAATTAGTGCCGGAGCATGGACATTTGCATGTCATGGCGCCGTGCATTTCATCTTCAGTGGCCGTTGGCTGCTTGGCTAAAGACTTAGATGCAAGTTCGCCTTCTGCCAAAAGAATAGCCAGCCTCCCATGTTAACACACGGAGATGCTTTTGCGTATGGACAAATTTACACAGACAACTCTTCTTAGAACCGCTTAAAGGCGCATATGCCATTCGGCCGAAGGTCTTCTTCCGCGAGATCAGCTGGCAGAGCGCGAAGCAAGTGCTGCCGAAAATAGTCTCTGGCTTCCTTCCAGTTAACGCTTCATACAGGGGCCTTAATAATTTGAATAGGGTTCCAGGGTCTTTACAAGGGTTACTATAATTATGGGATCCATAAGGGTACCATAGTATATTAGAATGGGGTTCAGAAGTAGATTGTGCTATAATTTTACTATGGAGCCCCCAAAACAGTATTGAGTAAATTACTTAGGCCCCTATATTACGCTTGGGAGATCCGCTTTCGGGTGGGTTTTCCGGGAATTGGGATTAGATTGCAGGCTGACTTGAGGACAAACAAGCTTTTCTCAGAGACTCTTCTTTCACATACCAAGACCCAAAGGGTCCTATGTACCGATATAGTAGACTGTAGGGTTTCCATATTCGGAAATACTATCATGACTTAGGGAAGTATCCCCCATAACAGTGCATAGGACCCTTTCGGAGACAAACAAGCCCATCTTTCAGTCCCGTAAGACTGAAATAGGAGGCAGAAGTAGCAACCTAGTATCCACTAATACACCCCTTTTCTATGTTCCAGCTTCGTGGCCTCTGCTATCTGTCTATCTATCGATCTTGGCATGTGTATATATGTATAGATATGTATGCATGCACAAAGATATAGATTTTAGACGGAACTCGCATGGTTTCAGGTGTCGGATGGCCTGCTCCATTGCCATGTCGGCGCGGTCCATAGCCACCCAAAGCCCTACCACCTCCACAGCGCTGGGTTCAGTGGCTTTGCGGCCTAGGTTTTCGGGTACAATGAAGGGTCTGGTTTTCGATGTGTGGTGTGTGCCATAACGCGTTACTCAGAGCTCTGCAGTGCAGTGTACCCAGAGGCCCCAAAGTAGTTCCTTTCTTGGGATTACCCTATAGGATTCTATATACGAACCCCAACAAGGAACTACTTTGGGGCCTTTGGGTAGGGTGCACGGGACCGGTACGCAACAGCCGCCGACTGATGCTTCGAACGTCCAAGGACTCGTCTCTTCAGGCTTTCGGGCCCAAAGACCATACTATCTAAGCGCGTTTGGTGTATTTTGATCCCCAGGCGAATATCTTCGGGTTGCATATGATCATGCTGTGCTCCGAATATGCGAAGTCCTGTGCTTGCTGCAGATGCTTCACGAGCATCTGGGTGGTTGTCAAAATTAAGGTCCCTCTTTGTGGTACCCTAAAGAATAGGTGCCGTAATATAATAGGGACGCAAATAGGGACCATAATTTTGACAACCACCCATCTGTCAAGGGCAACGTCCTAAAGCCTTGTCGCGGCAGATATCCTGGGATTCGATGACTTAACTGCTCTTGAAAACGAGCACCTAAAAATCGCAGACATTAGACTCTCTGTCAGCCCATAGCCAGCTATGAAACACACCCTTTGCGGGGGCCTAGACCCCCCAAGCGCCTTCGACTACAAAAGCCCACATCGTTGCTCTTTACTGTAGGGGCCATTACCTATTATAGTATTTTTGGGGCTTCCTTGTTATATTTATCGTATAATGTGCCTTAAAACCCTACTCTAATTGTTACTAATTATTAAGGCCTTTTTTTGTACGCACCTTGCGAGACCGCAGCCCCTCCCCTGCAGTCAGCGTAGCGAGGAGCGATGTGGAGACACTCGGGTGCCTGCGAAGGGGTATAGGCCCATTGAGCCTTGACGGGTTTCAGGGAGGGGTGTAGGGTTTAGGGTTTAGGGTGTAGGGTTTAGGACCACCCCACTTATCGTTTAGTTTGTGTCACTCGCTACTTGATGGCATGGCCTTCAACCTATAGCTGGTAGCATGAGCAGTTTTGTTTCAATAGCTGATCCTGGTCTCCAATTCTCTTTTCGCCCAGGTGTTGGCACCATCAGAAGATTCTGACATCTCAGACTCGTAACGCTGCAGGACCATGATCTGAACAACGGACAGCCTTTGCGGTACAGCATTGTCGCGCCGTCTCGAAAATGTAAACATCATCTTCCGGCTGTTCGTGCTGATTGCGATGAGATAGTTTTGGCGGCTGGATACTTGTCCGCTATCGGACATCAAAGAAACATACGTCCACAGACTAAAGTTCTGAGCCGTCGCCAAGCGAAGAGCATTGTAAAGACAATGCATCGTCCTTCAAGAACCGAAGTCAACAGTGAAGAGAGCCTGGGGTTTAGAATTCAGCATAGACCCTAATTGAAGACGTGGCCTGTGGGTTCAAATGTGCTTACTCCTTCAACTCAGAGTTTTCGCGATCTTCGAACGACGGAATAACCTGATTCACAGGAGCAAAACGGCACCTGAAACATCCGGCATGACCCAACCTCCTGAGGAACGTAACTACACCAAAGAATCCCCGCACGCCAGAACAAAAAACTAACTCTACCGAACCTGCAGCCCAAAACGGCACATGTCTTCCCCCAAGGCCTAGACCCCCAAACTCTGAACTCCAAACCCTTAAATCCCCTTAAACACATGGAAAACCCTAGAGACGATATCCAATTCGGTACCCAAAGGCCCCAAAGTACTTCCTTTTTAGGGTTCGTAAAAAAAGTTCTATAAGGTAACCCCAAAAAGGAACTACTTTGGGGCCTTTGGGTACTTAAAGGCTCATGGGACTTAGTAAGTAAGGCTATAAGTAGGTTATAATTAGGATAACCCCACTTAGGGGACTTATAACCCCAATTATAACCTACTTACTAAGTCCCGGATCCTCCAAGTAAGCCCACCTTCCCAAAGTGCCACTCCACGCCAGGCCTGGCTTTCTTGGCTTTAAGCTTAAAACACGCTTTGGGGTTTTAGGGTTTAGAGTGTTCGGGACTATAGGGTTTAGGGTTTGGGGTTTAGGGTTTACAGGCTTTAGGGTTTAGGGTTTAAGGTTTAGGGTTTAGGCTTTAGGGTTTGCGGCTTGGGGTTTTCCGGTGATTTGGCGATTTAGGGTTTAGGGCTAGGGGCTTGCGGTCCAGGGCTCTTGTGGTTTAGAGTTCATATGCAGGCTGCAAGACTTCTGCGTTCTTCGGAGGCTAAGTGCAGATTGAGGAGCACGAGGAGGGACCAGTCTGGGGCACGCGGATGTAGGGTCGGGGGTTGCCTCTAATGTGGTGTCTTCGCTGATTCATCTACCTGTCAGCTACAATCCAAGCCATAAACTTGAGTACGCAAAAAGCCCCGAAGCCTGAACCCTATGAAAGTACCTAGAACCCCCAACTACCTTCCAATATACCCCAAATACCCACTATTCATGAGCCATAAGGCCTCTATTAAAGGGCCCTTGGCGGGGGTCCTGGTACAGGTAGAAAGTAGCGGACAAGGCGTAGGTGGAGGGTCTTGTGGGGCGTGGCCGAGTTCACCCTGAACCGCAAGCTCTATGAAACCTACCTTGTATGGCTCCGCAGTATGCTTTCCTTATAAAGGTCCTTGATGAGCTGGGGTTAAGGTAACTTGTAGTATACTATGGTATACGATTGTATGTATAGTATATACATTCAGTACAATGTACAAGAAATGTACAAGAATGAAACCCCAAAAAGCAAACCCTTGAAGGCCCCGAGCGGCAGCGCCTCGCAAAATCGATGCAGCATCTGAGTTGTTGAGCTCCTTGGCCAGTCCTGTCGATGTAGAGTGTACCTTAATCCTGGCGGACCTACCCTTTTTAAGGACGTATATAAGGAAATCATAATAAGGAGCCGTAAAAAGGTAGGATATTCAGGGTTAAGGTAGGGTTTAGCACTTAGCACTAAAACCCTAAGCCGGGCTTAGGGTTTCAGATTTTCCGTTTAGACTAGAAGGTTGAGGGTTCAGGGTTTCAGGTTTAGGGCAAGTTGCACGGTCCAGACTGTAACTTTAGGGAATCGATCGGGGCTGCTTAGGGCTGAGGGTTTGCGGATTTGGGATGCAACTAAGGGTTTAGGGGTTTAAGGGTTTAGGCTTCAGGGCTTCGGGTGTAGGGGTCAAAGGGTTTCTGGGTCTGGGATGCAAAGGGTCTGCGGGTTGAGAATTTCGGGGAGTATAGGCTTGAGGCACCCTAGATCCTGATAAAGGATTTAAACCTTTGGGGCTCAGGGATTCACAAAGCTTTGCCTCGAAGCATGAAGAAACCGGTTGACCATGTGACGGCGCAGCGCTCAGGGATCCACCCAGAGAGCCCAATACCCATTAATTAAGGAATATACCTTCAGTTATCGGGCTTATAGGGGCCTGAATATATTGTGAGTTAAGGCATATTCCTTAATTTAGGGGTACTGGGTTCTCCAGGTACTTCCCTTTAACCTCCACGTAACAATTGAGACATTGCGTAGGATCGACAAGAAGGAAGTCCTGCAGACATCATGTACAGGATCACGCCAAACCCTGAACCCTAAGCCGTGAACCCTACACCACAAATCGGTCCTGTTGAAATTTCTGGTCCTTCACAACAGCACTACAACAACGGCTAAGATCCGGTAGCTCTGACATCAAATCCCTCCGGAAATCCTTGAAAGATCTGCATTAGGGTTTTTACTTGGTGAATTACATTCGCATTCTCATAGGCTTTGATCAGGGTTTCCACGGCGGTTTGAGTAGTGTTGGAGGAGCTTTAAGCGAGCAAGCCTTGTTCCAGTCTTCAACAACCACAAGTTCCGGTGAAGCTGGGATAAAGCTCGAGATATAGCGTCATACCCCAACCTCTGATGCGTAAGGCGAGTGGCCATGACTCACGTATCGCACTTCGTAATTCCTACTTGTCGGGTATCATGGGGAACTAAAAGTTAACCTTTTGTATTGTATAGGGTTGTATAGGGATTACACTACCCCAAAAGGGTTAAAGGTTACCTACCCTGCTACTAGGAGGTGAAATGGCCATGACTCATCGCACTTCGTAATTCCTACAGACCCGAAGCTCGACGCTCTGCTGCAAACTCACAAAAACCCAATGCTGCACCCAAGACCCCCACAACGAAGACCCTAAACTTTAAACCCTAAACCGCCCCCGAACCCCAACTCCTAGCACACCCTAAGCAGCCCCAGACCCGTCCACAAACCATAGTCGCCACTCTTTGGAGGGAAGGCAGGCAGACACCAAAGTGCAGCCCCCCGACTGCAGTGGCGAGCGTCGTGAGCCGACCTCAGAGCTGGGTCTTGGATCTGAAGATGTGCTGCAACGACCAGAACGTGGCCCTCGCCAGCTGCAAAGCTCAGGATGTGCGCCTTTGCTGTTTCGTGGCACGCGGATTGCAACTGCTTCACCTATAGTCCTCATCAGCAGCATCCACGAAGGTCCCCATTTTCTTCAGTCCACCCGCAATCAGTCTCAATTTCATTGCGAAATTGGGCCGGTTGTGTCCTTCACCCAATGACAATGCGCCACCAAGCCATCAAACACGCCCTTAAGCACAACCATTGCCCAAGAGTCAGCTGCAAATGCTTGCATTTACTCTCCTTGTCGGTCCCCTTGCCCTTGATTTTGGGATCGGAGGAAAATTTGGCAAAGAGGAAAACCTTAACACCCTAAAACACCTAGGCAACATAAGACTAAAACAACTATATAAGCCCCTATCGACACCGCTACACAAACCAAACTCCCCATAAAACCCCTACAAACCCCTCTACCCTAAACTAGACCCCCTAACCCTAAATCCTTAAGAGCGTAAGCCCCTAAACCCGAAGTCCCTAAACCCTTAAGGCCCTAAACCCCCCTAAACCCTAGCTTGTGCCTTCGGCTTGGAAGGCGACCGAAGACCAGGCCTTGCGAAAGAGGCTCCCAGCGGCAACGAGGGCTTGGGGTTTAAATATAGGGGTTCAGGGTTTGTGGTTTAAATGGGGATTAGAGGTTTAGGGTTTAAGGGTTTAGGGTTTAACGGTTTACGGATTGGGGTTTAGGAGTTTTTGTTTAGGAGTTTATAGCATGCAAGCAACTCCAAATTCAACAACCAAGAAACTGCTGCCCAACACTGTGCCCCTGTCCTACAAAGCTTCCCATACCGCTTGGGCTCTCCAGAAACTCCCAGACTGCACACCTGAGCCCTAAATCCTACCAGAACCCCAGTAAATTACTACCTTTCGAGAGGAGAACATCGTTCGGCGTTCTATCCGTCATTATCTTGCAGGCAGAACCATGAACGCGAAACCATGAATCCTTGAACGGTCTACACCGTCTAAGAACCGAAACCTTGAATCACTCTTGCAAACTTGCCCAGTGAAACTCTTAAGACAGCACTCTAAGGATCCCGGTAAAGACCTTCACTGGGTTCAGAGACATGTATATATATATATATATACACACACATATACACTCATACATACATATGTACACATACATAATATAAATATATATATATATATATATAATTATAATTATGTATGTATGCATACATATATATATATATATATATATATATATATATATATATATGCATGTATATATATATATATATATATATATATGCACATGCTTTTTAAGATTCACAAAGGCCTGGCGCAAGGCCAGCGGATCGCCACCGGCCGCCGCAAGCCCGCGGCGTTCCAGCGATCGCGCGAAGGGAGCCAACTCCTCGGCCTCCAAACCCTAAGGGTCCAAGTAGATCCCGAAAAGGAGCCCTTAAAGGATCCCTTAAAGGAACCCTTAGAGGATCCCTCAAAGGCACTTCTATAGATCCCTGAAAGGAGCCCTTTACAGAACCCTAAGGGTCCATGTACTCAAATAGTATATACATTGGCCTTAAAGTACTCCCTATATAGCTACATTGGGCTAATATACTATTTGGGTACATGGACCCTTAAAGCCTTAGGGAAAAGGAGCTCAAGGGCTTTCGGGTTTTGAAACTGGTTTGAGGGTTCTGTTTGGGGTTTTCGGGCTTTATAGGTTGCTCTTTGGTTTTGGAAACAAATTGGGGTGGTTCGGGGGTTTTGTGATTTGATCTGTCTTCGGGGGCTTGCTCGGGGTTTGGTTTGTGGGGTTTGGGCTTCGCACTTTTTGGGTTAGGATGTCACGTGACTGCGGGCCTGGACCTGGTTGGTGCTAGTACGAATCAGACTGCACTCGTACAGAATAGAAAACCCACGCGCAAAGCAATACACCAAACAGCAAAATCACCTTGACCTCCCTCCTTACCTATGGACCTTATCGTAGCCACTGTAACCAGCTTGACCATAGTCGTCTTCTCTGTCAAGGTTGTCTTGCTCGCGGGACCACCTTTCAAAAGCTCAAAGCTCAGCGCACTGGCAATAATCTATCTGTGTCAAAATCATGCTTACACTCCAACAGCACGATTGCTCAATATGGTAACACACTGATGATCAGGAACGTCACAGTTTCCTGTGAACAGCAACAGCATCATCATCACCATCCTCATGACCACCATCATCGTCGCCGGCGGCAAGGATATCATCGTGGTCATGCTTGCTACGACCATTGTCCATAGAATCATTCCGCGGTTCTCACCATCGTGCCATCTCTGAAACCCTCGCCGGTCATCGCAGGCCAAGGTCAGTTTTAGTCACCGCATACGAGTCAACAGTGATGACCTTGCTTTCGTAATCGGTTATCATCGGTAACCAGCAAAACACCCACGAAGCGATTAGCATAACCATCCTCCCCTTGGTCCCTACATGGAGCCTCTAGATCGAATGCATTGAGCTCCCGTTCCGATTGTCTTCCTTCTGTCGGCCTGGCGGGGAGTTGGCGACATGGAGGTGTAGGCTCCCGGGATGGAGGGCGGTAGCAAACACTGTAACCTGAGAAGGGGACCCCAACATGCCGTCACACCCGAAGTCGCAAAGTCTTCGCTCAACAGCCTGCACGTAAACATCATGTCGCGTCACAGACACGCAGATTCCGAAAGCCCCCGTATCGAAACCAGCTAGGGGAATACTCGATCAAAGATGGTGACGAAAATGGATTCTTCTTGCTATGGATACAATCATTTGATGCCGCAGTACTGCTACTGCAACTGCTGCGACTCCGACTACCGCTCCTGCTCCCCTAGCTACTCCGGCTTCTCCGGCTCCTCCGGCTACTCCTACGACTCCTACTTCTTACTACTCCTCCTACCACTCCTAATGCTCCCACTACTCCTACTACTCCTGCTACTCCTACTACTCGTACTACTCCTACTACTCCTACTACTCCTCCTCCTCCTACTACTACTACTACTACTGCTACTACTACTACTACTACTGCTACTGCTACTACTACTACTACTACTACTACGACTACTACTACTAACTACTAACTACTAACTACTAACTACTGACTACTGACTACTGACTACTGACTACTGACTACTGACTATTGACTACTAACTACTAACTACTGACTACTGACTACTGACTACTAACTACTGACTACTAACTACTCACTACTACCTACTACCTACTACCTACTACCTACTAACTACTAACTACTAACTACTAACTACTAACTACTAACTACTAACTATTATCTACTAACTACTAACTATTAACTACTAACTACTAACTACTAACTACTAACTACTAACTACTAACTACTAACTACTAACTACTAACTACTAACTACTAACTACCACTACTACTAACTACTAACTACTAACTACTAACTACTAACTACTAACTACTAACTACTAACTACTAACCATTATCTACTAACTACTAACTACTAACTACTAACTACTACTACTACTACTACTACTACTACTACTACTACTACCACTACTACTACCACTACTACTACTAGTACTACTACTACTACTACTACTACTACTACTACTACTACTACTACTACTACTACGAGTACTACTACTACGAGTACTACTACTACTACTACTACTACTACTACTACTACTACTACTACTACTACTACTACTACTACTACTCCTACTACTACTACTACTACTCCACTACTACTACTACTACTACTACTACTACTACTACTACTACTACTACTACTACTACTACTACTACTACTACTTCTTGTGCGACTACGACGACGACAACAACAACAACAACTACTACTACTACTACTACTACTACTACTACTACTACTACTACTACTACCTCTACCAGCACTACCAGTACCACTACCTGTACCAAACAGACCACGGCGCCGGCCCCGACCGCGACCGGGAGGACGACCACTAACCTTGCCACATTGTAGACTGCGAAAGATTTTAGGAACCGAAACTAGACGTGAAACTTGAGTCAGAACTCTTCAACTTGTACCCTTAACCCTGAACCCTCAAGCCCTAAACCCTAAACATTAAACCCTGAAGCCCTACACCCTAAACCTTAAATTCTAAAGCCCTAAACTCCTAAACCCTACATCCCTATCTACCGGCCCGTTTAACCCCCTGAAGGCACCTCCCCCGGGCCGGCGGTCTCTGCGGATAGGGGCCTCCTGGATGTTGGTATAGATGCCCTTCCCCTAAGGGTCCATGTACCCAAATAGGGTTCCTTTAAGGGTACCATAAGGGTTCCTTTAAAGGGACCTATAAGGGATCCAATAAGGGTTTAGGGTATAAGGGTCCATGTACCCAAATAGTATATACTTTGGGCCCAATGTACGTATGTACGGAGTGCTTTAAAGCCAACGTATATACTATTTGAGCACATGTACATGGACCCTTAGGGTTCTATAAAGGGTTCCTTTTCGGGATCTATGGAAGTGCCTTTGAGGGATCCTCTAAGGCTTCCTTTAAGGGTTCCTTTTCGGGATCTATAGGGGTACCTTTAACGGTTCTAGAAGGGTTCTTCAAGGGTTTGGTATTAGGGTCTACATAAACTCTCCTCCAGTCGCGGTAAAGTGCGGCTTGATGTTGCAACAGTGAGGGCCCTCTGTTTGGGCGTGACCCCTCTCGTAGAGGGCTATGCCCAGGAGGAAGAGGCTCTCCTTGGCGCGGTCGGAGAGCCCGCGGGCAGTCTTAGCCCTCTCGCTGGTAGTAGCGGTTTCCTCGGGGACATTGTCGGCGTCGGCAGGGCCCAACCTCTGGCCTTTTGGCAAAAGAAGCCTTCCAAGAACCTGCCCTTTGCCTCACTACCCCACTCTGCCATGTATGTATTGGTCAGAGTTGGGGCAACCACAATCAGGTGGTGTGTCCGGCCGTGATCTCATCGATGATGGCGACACTCGGCGAGCTCAATAGAGTCGACGGGGATGGGGCCAGCGAGGGGGGCGCTGACCATATCAACGCTGGCGACGACGTTCTTGTTGGGGTTAGCCAGGTTCATGGTCACGATCCTCTAACAACAACTTGGTTAGACCAAAAAGCAAAACTGCAATGTAGACTTGTGGCTTTATTACAAAGCAATCTTAAACAATCGGATCTTGAAGAATATACGATATTTAAGTATCTGCAGAAATAGGAAAGGACTGTTGCTCGTCACTGGGACCCTAATATTACATGCAGATGCACGATTGCTCGTTCAGGCTGCCCCAAGTCCTTCACGCTGCAAGGCACACATTCCTGCCCCTCAGGGTGTCGGCAAGGCATATAAGAGGCAAGGTACCAGACAGAAAAACGCTAGCAACCGAGTGTCACCAGCATCATGAACAACAGAATGGCCACCCAGGTCACACTGCGAAATGGCTCAAACCCTGTACCTTCAAGAAAAAACCCTAAACAGACACCCTAAGCTTTAGACTCCAAACCGTAACAAAACCCTAAAATAAACACCAAACCTTAGACCCTATAAACCAGTCTAAACACCCTAAGACCCAAAGCATGCTTGCTGGCTCATCCTCCGCGAAGCAACCGCTCCACTGGCCTGGCCAGCAGCCAACGCTGGCGATGCATGGCCCATGGCTTGCTGCAGAAAGCTGCTTTTCTTGCAAATTGGGTTAAAAGTTTAGGGTTTAGGGTTCAGGGATGTTAAGGTTTGGCGGTTCAGGGATCAGGACTTTAGAGTTTAGGGTTCAGCGATGGGGTGATGAAGGCCTTTTTCCAGTTCAGGTCGTCACCAGGGTCTCGGGCATGGATCTTATCTTAGGGTCGTTAAAGCAAGGGTCAGGTGGGCTTCTTAGAGTCAAGCTCATTCACGATTGCATACGGAGCTTCAGGGTTCGCGCAGGGTTGGCAGGTGGACGGTCTGGGTTGTTGAGTATTCCCGAAGACTCCATGTACCCATATAGTAGGCACTTAGGCCTTAAAGTAGCTACATAGGGGCTCCTTTAAGGCCAAAGTACCTACTATATGGGTACATGGAGTCTTAGGGACTGTTGGGAACCAAGAGCTGGGTTTCTGGAATTTCATCGCCTAATCAGGGGGGGCTGTGGTATGCTTCCTAGTGTCCTAGTGTTTAGATGGAATACTGCACACGAAAAGACATGGAAAGGACGGGCATATACATAAATATATATATATATATATTTATTTATTTATATTTATATTTATATGTATACACACATATGTATATATATATATATATATATATATATATATATATATATATGTGTGTGTGTGTGTGTGCAGACGATACGCACATGTCAGCGCGACTATCCCTCGCTCTCACTCTGTCTCTGTCTCCTTTCCAAAAACACAAAGCGATTGCACATACATACATATTGCAGATTATCAGCTGCAAAGCGGCGCCCCGAACCATCAGCAAGCACGGGCGCACCTAATCTTTTCGCACAATACCAGGAGCCACTGCGGCTATGTGCGGAGCGGCGTTTCGCCACAGAACTCACACTTCAAACATGCCTATCAGCAGTCAGGTCAATCGCATCTGAGCATATTCACACTGATATTATTATCTTTTTGACCTGACTTTGTCCGCTTCCAGGCTTCTTCTCTAAAGACGACTCCGCACTTGACTTGCTCTCGTAACTCTTTGGACCGGCCCCCCTTAGTAAGACCATCGGCTATCTGATGCCTAGTAGGAACCCACAAGAGCTTTGTCTTTTGTGCGTCTCTCGTCGTCAGCATTTGACGCAGAAGCACTGCATGGATCACCGAAGCTTTATCACTAATGTGCTGCCCGTCCTTGTGAACCGTATCGTAGATAGATTTACAATCCGTCACCAAGGTCATCGGGGTGAGATCATTCCATCCATCATCTTCAACACTACCCACAACTTCGGATCCGAACCTCAGTTCACTCATCAGAACCTGACTGAAGTGACCCATTCCCAGAGCCATAAGCGCCGCATGCGTTTCACCGGCGAAGCTGGATTCGATAACCCTCTTGTTAGTGCTACTTCGCCAATCTAAAATGTTCAAGTGAGCATGTTCACTACGCACGTCAGTCGACCCTCGTTTAACGAATCCGACCACGGCGCCTTTCTGCGAGAAGACAAGTCTCTTGTCGAAAGAGGACTGCAGGATGTCATCAGCTTCCTTCTCTTCGATCTCCACTCCCACACTTGAGTATAAGCCGGCGTCTGTATACACGATTAATTGGGCGTCTCGACCTAGATTCTTGAAGAGAAGCTCCATCCGATGCTGCTTAGCCTCTTTGACAGCTTTGTTGGCACGCACCAAGTCGCCTACCCTGAGGTCACTGACTCGCTTCTGCAACTGATTAGTCTCGAAACTCAGGTCAGGACGCGACTGGGTAGCTATCCACTGCAAACTTCCCACAATGGATCGGTAATCTGCCAGCTCCTCTGCTGAAGCCGGCAACTCTGGATTCCGCTTGCGATCCTTAGCTATCTCCATCTCTTCCAATCGTCCATCGATAAAACCGTCCTGGGTAAGACTGATGCACTTCTCACCTTCGCATTCTCGCAAGCGGATCTCTTTACCACAGTAAGTAACTCCACTAGCCTTTTCAGGAACTCGGTCCCAAGTCCCGAATGGAAAACGCTTCCCCAACCTGTCAACCACGCCTTTGGCAAACTCCGAACCGTCATGACATACCATAAGATCATCAACGTGTATGACCATGATACCGCACAGTATGCCTCTCTCATTTCGGAGCATAAAGACAGCTGGGTCAATGTAAGACTTGGCGAAACCGAATTCGGCAGTCAAAACCCTCGCCAGTTCCTCATACCAAGCTCTAGGGGCATCAGGTCTACCATACACAGGCTTGAGAAGACGGAGGATCTGGTTTGGTCCGACCCCTTTCAATCCCTGCTTAGGTGGTTTCATGTACATCGGTTCCTTCCCAGTTAATGGCGATCCCTGTAAGAAGGCATTGCTAATGTCACCGATGAACCAGTTCTCAATCCACCCAAAGCTAGCAGCGACATGAAGAAAAAGCATGGTGGAGACTCTCTCCACCGTAGGAGAGTCCACCTGAACTTGTCCCGTCCTGGCATCAGGACACAGATGTCCTTGCAAGCATAATCGCGCTTTCGCGCGAGTTGGTAACGGAACTCCTTTCTCATCAATCAGTCCAGCATTCTTGTTCCGGTAGACATAACGGCTAGGAAGGACTCTCGATGGGCTTTCTCTCAGCACTCTCTGACTCTCCTCTTCATTCAGGATCTCACAGCTCTCGTACTGTCGCCAACTCTCCCATTCCTTTTCCTGAGCTTGATGGTACAATTCCTTTTCCCCATTCGGTATCTTATCATAAGGAATCTCCTTGTCCATCATGCGTTTGAGCTTGTTCTTGCCAATCGTTTTTCCATAGCTCACGGTATGCACCTGATGTGACGCCTTCTTCTTCTTGATCCCATGTGGAACATCTTCCAGACACATCTCTCTCTTGGTCCTGCCCTGAAAGACGGTGATGAGAATCTCAGCAGGAGTCTGGGGAAGGTAACTATTGGGGTTGTCCAGTTCGAACCACTTCACTTCTTTCTCAAGACACATCCACTCTCCACGAAACCGTCCCCAAGTAGTACGATATGGGTATCGATGAAGTTCGTACTTCGTCTCAGGAGTTCGAAAAGCCCAAGCTTGCCTAGTCACCAACACCGGACTACCAGCATCATCCAAGTGCCAGCCTATCTTCGCGACAAGCTTGCGCATGTGGTCAGGAAGACCCTGCAAACCTTCCTGGAGATTCCCAGCATCAGCCGAAACTTCCTTGACGATATCTTGACCCTCCACTTCCATCGGTTCTTCAGTAGGGTCCTGCTGAAGGGTCAAATCCTCGAAAGTGGCCTCCTTGGGAATCTTCTTGAAAAGAGCAATGGCCTTCTGAATCTGGGGATCACCGTAATGTCTTTCATCACCTGAAGCCTCCCGAAGGTGTTCCCCGGCAACCAGAAAACATCTACCTCCGACAGCAACCCAAGCGTTAGGTCCCTGAAGCCCCACTATATAGCCAGGGCCTACCCATCTACTTGGTTCCTTCTTACGCTCCCCTCTCCAGAAAAACACAAGTTGGCCAACTCTAGGCTGGGTGATCTTTCGGACACGGTTGTGAGCAGTCCTAGCCAACATCTGTCTAGCTTGGGACTTAATGTACTCGAGTTTGGCATGGTACCTGTGCTGCATCCGTTGCGCAACCTCGCTCCGAGAATCACCCACTCTGGGATGGAAAGCCACGGCTTCGCCTTCAGCATGTAACTCCCCATACACCCTAGGTTCTCTCCCGAAAACTAAGGCAACCGGGGCCCAGCCATGCTCTCGAACCAAAGTGTTCTTAGCCCAGGCAACTTCACGACCAACGGTTCGCATGCTTTCTCTTCCCTTTGCCCCTGTTTGTCGGATAACAGTACGAAGCATATCTTTAGCCGTTTGATTGTGCCTCTCAACTTTGCCCCCTTGCCAGTGAGCTGTTCCGGCAATGGAAACCAGGGAAGATCCAGCTTCCGAAACACTTTGCCAAAACTCAACTCCGCGAAACCCTCCTTCGAAATCGACACAGACTCGGATAGGAGGTCCTGCCCACTTCGACCATGCCCTGTCAAACGCTTTGTTAAACTCGAGAGGGGTATGATCTCTAAGCAGTTCGAGAATATGATAGCTAGTCGCACGGTCGACTATGGAGAGATACCAATGACTCTCAGCCCCGCTATCATGCACACAGATGCAGTCTAAGTGCACTTCATCTCCGAACGTGACAGAGCATGGAGGAATACTTGCGGTACGATGTGCTTTGGGTTTAACAGCATGGGCGCATGAAACACACCGCATCCATCCCACAGCCTCTACAACCTCTTGCTTAGCACCACCAAGCTTCAGAAACCGTTGAAGGTCAGCTTTGCTGGGATGGCCAAGGTTACAGTGTGCTTTCTTCAGCCCATCCTGAACTTCCCGGCTCAGCTTTCTGCCAGGCGGCACCTCAAAAGTAATCCCGTCGTGAGCAAGTCCAGTGCGGAGGCTCGAAGGACCACTCTCCTCCGGAGGATCGGCGATCATTTCCTCGTCGCCGTCTGAGTCCTCCAGGGTTTGTGGCATGGCTGTATCTGAGAGTTGGTCTCCCTCAGGAGAACCAACAGCAAAAACTGCACTCCACCTACCAAGAGCCTTAGCAACGTTCTTTTCATTCCATCTCAGGTCACGTATCAGTTCGGGATCCTTACTGTACCGTATCCGAGCAGCCACCTGACGAATCATCCGTCGAATCCTACCGGGGTCTTTTCTCCTAAGAGTCTTCACGTAACCCTTGCAGATAGCTGCCGCGACACGTCGTGAAGATGTAGTCTTGTCTCCAGACAAATCTGGACACCTTAGAGCGATCTCCTGACAAATCTCCACAGCGGTACTCATCCAGAGAGCGGGCTTCGGATTATCATCTCTAGTTCTGACCTGGGAGTGCATGCCAGACAAACCCTGAGCAACAACGGTATAGACTGCTGGATGATCACGTACTCTCTTGAGCGCACCGTCTCTGAAAGAGCCTTGGGCAACTGGATCCTCAGCAAGGGCATCGTCTCCGCGACTGAGTTGTTTCTGAAACACTTGTTCCACTAGGTCGAACACCCCTCGCTGCTTACACAACTTACGGTACATTCTTCGTTTCTCCTGCGACGATTCGCTACGGGAAACCACAGACTCATACACTCTTCGCGGATACGACAGGACGACCAAACGAGGCTGATTGTGATCTATCCACTCCAAGAGTCGCTCTCTCCCACTCACATCATACAGGCCATCACCGAGATTCAGGTCCGTCGGACGTGCAGCCTTCCAACCCCACCTACTGAAGCTACTCGTCACCTGTGCTTCTCCGGCAAACACTTCTAACACATCTGGCCGAATGGCAGATGCCAAAGGAAAGGATTGCACGGCCTTCCCGAATGAAGCAGCAGTAGTGATCAGAACTGCTGCCGCAATTGCCTTTGCATTGCCAAGGAATCTTTTCACCAAACCGCGCTTAGCAGCCCTACGACGTTGAACACCTTCAAGAATACACCGTCTGACCTCGGACTGATTCCTGGGCAACACATTCGGCTTACAACTCATGTTACAAATCAGATCATCGGGATCGGCATGAGAACACTTCTGTGATGAGCCTCCTGTGGTGGCCTGAGCCTCAGAGTGATCCGTCACTTCGTCTCGTTCTTTTTGGCAAGCCTCATCTCCTTCAAGATCGTCATCTCCTCCTCGGTGACGTTCGTGTTGATGACCGTCTTCTCCTTCTCGGTCTCCTCGTCGCTTTCCTCGATCGCCGTCCTCCCCGCTCGTGCCCAAGAGCCATCGGACGAATCTCCTCGGAATTCGGTCATCGCACTCGGGGCCTTGCGCCGTGGACCCGGACTGGCCTCGGTCTTTTGATAGCCACGTCCAGTCCCTTTCGTGCCTTTCCAGCGATGGACCTCCGCCTGCTCGGTCATCGCATCTTGGATCTCTTTTGTCGGTCGCCCTCCGTACGTCAGCGGCAACGTCTGGGTGCACAGAGGGTACCTGACGCAGCCGTAAAACTCCTCCCGAGTCAGCCGGTTCGTTCTTACCAGCATCGGTATCTTGCACACCCCGCAAAGGGGTGTGTCGTGGTACAGGTCCTCGTCGGGCATGTCGGCCATCACATCCGCCAACCACATCTCGATCTCTGTGATCAACTTCGGGCGGGACCAGCGTACCCAATGCCCGTCGGCTGCTCTGTTCAAGTCCTCCCGAACATCGTTCGAGTAGATGTCCTTCAGAGAGGTGACGTCCATCTTTTTCCATCCCGTCGGCAAGGGAGACTGTGGTTTCTTCGGCTTGACCATTGTCCAAATCTGTTTGAGGCGCTCGCAATCGTGCCTCCGGAGCTCTTCCTTGGCCAGCCCGGTGCGGACGCTGATTGCGCCCACAAACTCCTCCTTCCGCTTCGGCATGGTGTACTTCGGCGTCATCAGGTCCAACAGGATCACCGGGATATTGAGCGTCAGATCTTTCACTGCTAGCTTTCGGCTGAGCCACAACAGTCTCAGCCACATCACACGGAGTACACATGATTGGGCTCTTACACACTTCATCCTTACATGAATGTGGCTCCTGGTGTTCGGACGAAGTGGCACACACTACACTTTGGTCCCCAGAGGTCCTGGTCCTTCTTTTCGATCTGATAGGAAATCCCAGTTTGCGCAACTCATTGCGCATCCCACGGTCCGTTGAAGTCACCGCCCGGGAGGTATAACACGATATGCACCATCGGGTCCCCTGCCAAGGCTGAGTCGCATGGGCAACCTTGGGGTCAAGGAGGAAAGGCTGGTACTTCGTGTCCACAGTCCTGCCAGTGACGAGTCGAGACTTTTGATCTTTCCTCTGACAACGGGACGGGTCATCAGTAGGAACGTCCGCATCTGCCAACCACAGCAAACCACCAGTGAAATCTCCACAGGTCACAGTGGCAGTAACGCTGCTCGTAGCATTGTTTCGATCCTTGTGAAAACCCATCTTCACGTTCTTCATGGCCACGATCGAAGTCCAGCATTGGCCTTCTCCCACTTTGTCTCGCATGAACATGTTCAAGTAGCGGATCGTGGCCTCATAGTCGCTGGCATTGTTCGTGACCCCGTAGAAACCACCGTGGGCCCACAAACCGGCCATAATCCCTTGTGTCCGGGGATCTTTTCCTTGATTGATGTCCCTCTGCTTTTCTTCTCTCATCATCGGCAAGTGCGCAAGGAGGCCCTCCAAACTCTCGTAAGTGAAATCCCGAGCCTCCAACAGACCCCGAGCAAGTTCCTCACAGTCGTTCCTTGCCGGGCGCACCGATCGCTCAGCTGACGGGCATACATTCACCGCGTTGTCACCTTCATCCCACGTCAGCTCATTCTGGAACCCATCTGGCGAAACCTCCATCTCGCCCTCTAGCATCTGGACCGGTGGAAACTCAGGCTGCTCCACGCCTTCACTCCGGCTCTTGTTTATCACGAAACCACACAAGCCGGCATCCGTTTCCACCAACTCCAAACTGGTTCCAAGCCGTGAGAAAGCGACCCGTGCCTCGCCAAGATCCAGACAAGCCCCGAGGGACTTTAGAGCGGCCTTGCTCATAAGAAGAGGTACAGCTTGCTCCACCACACTCACACGCAACCACGGTACACTCGTAGCTCCAGCGAGGTTAAGTGGGACCACAATGCTGTACTTCGACATGATACGTGGTCCAGCTCCAAACCTGAAGGGCCTTGCCTCGTTCACCACGTACACGTCCAGGCCGGCCTCATGAAGGTGGTTCATATGAGCATTCGCCCAAGCTTCGCCCGCCACTGTGCGAGCGCAGCAGGTGTCTGACAACGCCAGCAGACAATCCTCTGCTGCTATGTCGGCCGCATGCGACACTGCACTCGCACACCAGTACTCATCCTTCATGTCCAGACCGCCCCATTGCGCCATGAAGACATCATTGGGGTCAGGACCGTAATCTTCGTCGGAGTCGGAGAGCTCCTCTTCGATCACGGCCATCACCTGCTTCCCACCATGGTTGGGGTGGAAAGGGCACTCCACATCTGAGTGCCAGTGGCCGTAGCTGGTACGGCCCCGCGATTTGCACGCTGAGCAAGGCATCTTTTGTTTAAGCTCAGCTATTCTTTTAGCTCTGGCCTCAGGTGTCTCATCTCTCCTTCCACCGCCTTTGCCACCGCCGCCTGACGAAAACCCGCGTGCTTTCTCCACCTGGGCCCTTTTGTGGGCCGCCTGAGTGAGGAGCACTTGCAACTCCTCTTCCAACAACTCCGGAACCATCTGGGACTCATCGTCATCCTCAGGCTGAGCGGGAGAGTCCTCCGTCGTTGCATGGACCTTGGCCGGCGACTTCCTCCATTGCCTGTTCGCTCCTCCGCCATGGTAATGGCCACCATCTTCCTCCTTGTTCACCTGAGGAACTATGGCCATAACTGCAGAGCGAAGCTTGCTGTAGTCATACTCGCCGCCAGCCGCCGCCACCACCTGCTTTCGCAGCTCCTGAGATAAGCCAGCCTTTTCCAGAAACCAGTAGGCCTTGGTCACTCCAGATATCCCAGCATTTATCTCTTCCAGTCGCTGCGCATGTCTGCGGAACTCCATGTCATAGGCGACGTACTGTTGTCCTGGCGTCCGTCTAAAAGACTTGTAAAAATCAGCCAGCGTCTGAAAAGTCCGAAGAAACTCCAGCGGCTCGAGCTCCTTCCACAGGTGATCCATGAGCCTCTTCACACCATCAGGGTGCTTCAAAGACTCCAAAGGGATCGACTCAGTTGCCAGCCACGCATTCCCCGTGAGCTTCTCCATGAGCTTCTGAGCTCGAAACGTGGCATCTATACTCGTACTCAGTTCAAACAGCTTCACTCGCCGCTGGTACTCGCGCATAGGGCCAGAGCCATCATACTCAGGAATGAAATCTTTCCCACTAGATTTCGTCCCGCTGCTGTCCTTCGCTGAAGAAGCCGAGGCATGGTCCTCATCCGTAGACCCGGTTGCCTCCGCCGCCATCCATACATCATCGGCTGTAGACGCCGACTGCCTTCTCGCCGCATCATCACCACCACTTCCAGCCGAGCTCTCAAAACTCTCAGCTGTTGCAGATTGCTGCGAACCGGTCTTTTGCTGACCCGCCGAATCTGTCCCCCAGGTGGCATTGGCCTGCCATGTGCTTGTGCCCCACGAAGGAGTCCACTGGGGCTGCCACGCCCCGCCTTGACTGTCATTCCATCCTCCTCCTGCATAGGAGGCCCAATTGTGCTGCTGCCAGCTCCAAGGATCAGCTTGCCACTGAGCTCCCCACCAAGCATTTGATGGAGTGGCTCGCCAATCCGCCTGCCGCCACTGCTGTCGTTGATCTTCTGCCGGAGCATCCTGCGAGGCGCCCTGAAGATCGCTGCCGCCGGTTTCAGCCATAGAGCTTTCCCTGCTCCGCTCAACCAATGCAGATTATCAGCTGCAAAGCGGCGCCCCGAACCATCAGCAAGCACGGGCGCACCTAATCTTTTCGCACAATACCAGGAGCCACTGCGGCTATGTGCGGAGCGGCGTTTCGCCACAGAACTCACACTTCAAACATGCCTATCAGCAGTCAGGTCAATCGCATCTGAGCATATTCACACATATATGCATATACACATCTACTCATATATATATATATATATACCTGAACAACCCGCCCCCGCTGAATTTCAGGCACCGTTGAATTGAACCCAAAAAACGCCATTAAGAACAAGAAAAGGCATTGTTCGCAAAAAACGTAATCACTCATTTCTCGTCTCTCACCGAAAGGCTCTGCTGAAGCACTTCAGCCTGGGAGCAGCTCACTGCTTAAAGCACACTTCGTTCTTGGAGCAGCTCACTTAAAGCACACTTCAGCCCTGGAGCAGTTCACTGCTTAAAGCACCCGTCCAGCCTTGGAGCAGCTCGCTTGAAGCACACTTCAGCCCTGGAGCAGCTCACTGCTCAAAGCACACTTCAGCCTTGGAGCAGCTCATTCAAAGCACACTTCAGCCTTGGAGCAGCTCACTGCTTAAAGCACATATGCAGGGATTTTGCAAAGCTTCTATGATCTTCGAACAGGGTGTTGAGCATCCCATTTAGGGTACACTTGGAGGCTGTAGGTTCACCGCGAGAGCCGTTCCAACAAGAAGCGAACTTTCACCAAGTAGCGTTGCAAGCAACGGACTGCAGCTGTCTGCGGATGAACACGACGGCTCACTCTTGCAACCCGGCCCACGAAATCTTCATTACTTTCGCATAGCCATAGTCCGGCATTCAATAGAAACGGCTCTCTAGAATCCAACTGTTGCTGCAGCTCTGTCAACATATGCATAAAATAATGAAGCCTGGGTCGCAGTCGGAACCCCGAAGCCCCAGCAGCAGTCAGACGACTAGCCATGTAGGCATAGCCCCTGGCGAAAGTCAAGCCACTGTCCAGTTTGACACGGGCACAACTTTGAGGCAACCATATGCCGTGGGAGTGCATTATGCCAATATAGTCGAGGCCACCACGAACCAACTGCTTCATTGCTGACAACTCTGCCCGGTGGTTCTCAACCTGGACATCCCGTAGGAAAAGTGACACCTGAAAGTCGAGCCACTGCAGTAATATCACCACCTCGCTGCCCTTAGTATTGAACCAGGCGAAGGCCGAATTGGTATCGTAATGCATGTTGGCTCTCGTAAAACCTTTCAGCGCTGGCAGCTTCTTGTTTGCAGCACACCACAAGCGGTAACAGCCATAAGCTCTGGAAAGCCGATCCGGGACGTTCTGCAGCTCATTTTCGGAATCGAAGTCCCAAAACCCTAGCTGGGCCAATCTTGTCACACAGCTGGCAGTGGCATCCCTAAAGATTCCGAACTTCAATACATGGAAGGGATCATTCTTGTACATAAATGCACCGAAGCTTTCCGAAAAGGGAATTGCAGACAGGGGAGGGTCTTCGTCCCATGGATCCGAAGCACCCACCGTTTCGAGCCACTTGGGCGCACTGGAAACATCAGTATACGGGAAGCCTTCGGATCCCGCATCACACCAAGGGCAAATCTTCGCAGGATTTACAGGGCCGATCCGATGATACGATCTATTGAAGCTTCCGGCATCGAAGTGCCATTCGGCATCACCCTTCGCACCTATAAATCCAAAGCGGTACCTTTCACCGCTTTTGCTATGCACCAGACCCTTCTCGAACAGTACCCTAAGTTCTTCGGCAACTTGCTTTAGCATGCTTGGGAGGATGTCGGAGTTTCTCTTGTAGAGCTTGGAGGGAATGGCGCACACCAAGAAGCGACTCAGATAACTGTGTCCACGATTGTTGTGCCTTTGGTGGCTCTTGGGATTCGAGGAATCAAGGAATCTGGCAGGGTCACTACGAGTGCACTCAGAGAAGTCTACTTCATCAAACTTTCGCTTCGTGGCACGAGACCTACATGTCTGGGCCAGGTTCCCTTCGACATGCCGGGTGTTTCGGTTTTCATCGAATGAACATTTCTTCAACATATCCGGAGGAAGTCCAATCGGGAACTCGAAGTCGAGGATGTATATCGGGCTTTTTTGTAATGTGCGCCCCTTATCTCCGTGGATACAAACCGGGATCGTGCGGAACCTGTCTTCCTCAGACATGGAGAAAACTACATGCTGGGGATGGTAGGATTGAAATCTTGACCAAAAGCACCCATAAATCTCCTTTGGTGCAGCTGCTGAACACCCTCCGAACATTACATGCTCATAGTTGTCCAATAGGTGTTGCATGTACTTGCTCATGGAGATGTATGGGACTGACACCGCTTCTTCACCCCAGGAGTTTTCTGGTACATGCAAGTAGTCAAGCGGTACCCTAAGTGCTAGGCCGTACTTGTTGAACAAGCGATGAGCATTTCTTTCACTGTGGTTTTTATCCACTTTACTGGCTTCGATGAGGCCTGGCACTCGGCTGCCGTCGCTCACAACTGCACTGGCCACTTCGCCAATGATGCAAGCCGGAGCCTGGGGAGATCGAACTGATTCGGGTTGTATCAAGAGTTAAGGTTTTGGGCTTCCTGAGTTTTGTGGCAGGTGTGGTCTCGGGTATAATACTAGAGAGCCGGGTATGGTGCGATTTGGATTACAGCAGGATTGCGAGAAGATCAAAGTAGCACGACCTATGTCGGGATAAGAGCAGCTGGGCCAGTGTACACGGGATGCGAAGCTCATGTTGCTGGGGCCGACCAAACCTTCAACAGACATGATACATGCATGCAATGCCATAACCCCCAATCTAAGACAACGGCCCCATCAGCCACACGTTCAGCTAGAGCTTCGAGGGTGCGACTTGCCTTCGGTTCACCTGGCGTGCGGTCAGAAATTACCTATAGTTCTAGCTTGTTGCAGCTGCCCGAGCAATGATCGATCTCTCTAGCACTTTTTTTCTTCAGATTGCCAGCATCCAAAATCTAGCACTCTACTCTCCGGTAGACATAGGGCCCCACAACGTATTCACATGTATACGAAAATCAAGTACATCTTAACTAATCAAAGCATTATAACAGTCCACGGTTGGTACATATATTGGAATGAGGGTGTTCGCAAATCCGGAGCATCTTGTCAGGGTCTATAACCCTTTGGCAGCACCATCCTGCAAAAGTTGTGCACATCGAGGGCTCATCAGACTTGTGCTAGGGATTCGATCGGAACACAATGGATACCACGATATAAGCCACAACCCAATCCCCCTACCTTTAGCCTTAAATTTCTATAGATTATAAAAGCCTAGAAATAACGGCAATTACATGCCACTCGACTGCAGCAGAGGAAAATCTGCTACTTCTTGAGCCTTTTGGCCACTGGCTCTGGAGCCTTGGCGGAAGCCTTCACTCTTTTGGGATTTGCCTTTGCTGGGGTCTTTCCCCGGGGGCTGGTCTGCTCGTTCTTGAGCGGCGGCGCTTTCGTAAGGAGGGTCCTGCCGTGGCGATTCAGACTGTTGCATGCTTCAGTGTTCGAACGATCCCTTTAGTATATAAAGGGTTACATATAGGGGCTTCTGGGGTGTTAAGGTTCAGGGTTTAGGATTGGGGTTTGGGGTTCGGTGGGATTAGGGTGTATGTGATTTGGGCTTTGTGTTCTTTCAAGCACTGCACATACCCTACGGTCCTGGCACGAGTTTCCAGCTCGGCAGCTTCGATTATCCTGATCTTCCACACAAATCTAGACATCATACCAGCATCGATGATCGAAACATACAGAATTCGATGGGTGCATCCAGGGTGCAGCTTGCGGCATTTTCCCAGCTCAATGTCGATTGAGCATTCCATCCTAGGGAGACAGGCAATGGTAGCGTGTTTTGAGGGGTGTTATAGGGTTTACAAAGATCAGGTGCAAGGGGAGACGACTATAATGTGACTATAGTATCGAAATCCAGGTCTACTTTAGGGTTTATGTAGGGTTCATTTTGAGGCGAAGGATATGGCAGGGGCTACGGGGATGTTTGTTTTAAGGATTGCCATATAGCAATATTTTAAGCTCTGCTTTGTTATTGGGATCACATACTCTGAGGAAGGGTCGTCTGTATCCGGACAAACACCGAAACCAAACCTCTTAAAATTTCGGACTTTCGAAGGCATGCCTTTGAGGTCCGAGAAAGTTTTTGTATAGCCGATCTGCGATGTAGAACTATATTATCTAATCCCAATTAAACAACAGGACCCAGGACAGCCAGCATAGCTTAGCTCGAATAGTATTGAGCCCAGCAGCTGCTCAGTAAAGCCATCCACCAAACCATCAGCCTTGTACTTCTCGAGTGCCTCGGAGCAAGAGTCCACGGCTGTGTAGACCGACCGGATCTTGTTGTACATCCTGAGCACAAGCGAGGGTGTAGGGAAACCCCGGGATATATCTAGATATGATTTGTGCAAGATGAACGACACACGGCTGAGGGCAAGTCTTCTCTTTGAGGTCCATGTTCGCGGTTTGGGCTGCGGGATCAGGTGGGGGGCAGCTGTCAGACGGTAGCAGCTCAGCAAGCTTCTTCAACCGTTTAGTGCAAGCACCAACGGCCTTGTCAATCAAAGCAGAGGCCTTGCAGTCATGAACCTCTGGGTAGCCCAAGCGCTTCAACAATTTGCTGACCTCCTCATTCGGTGGCGGTGTCTGTGTCAAACCATCTGCAGCATCAGCAAGCGTTGTTGGTTGTTGACCTCAGGATTGTTACCCAAGCTACTACATTCTGCGGATCTAAGGCTTCTTGGATCTCTGATCTCTACGATGACTGCAGTGGATGAATCAGTGGATGAAGCCGCAATTTGCTTGCAAGGAACTTGGGGGTAGCTCCAAAGCTTCACCCAAATCCACATCCATCTCCTCAGTTCCCTCGCCGGCAGCCTCGATCTCCCTTGTCTCGGACGTTTTCACCCGGTCTGTCTTCCTCGGCAGTCGCAGGAGGTCGAAGGCAGTTGCAAGGGTTAGGAAGTTTGGGATTGGGGGGGTTGAGCGAAATAGGGCTTATAGTCTCATATATATATAGATATATATATATATATATATATATTGAACCGAACGTCTGTATCCCACTAGTGACTCTAGTTTAAGTATATACCCTTACAGAGTACAGGTTTAGGTAGCCCCACAGTTGGAATTCCGATAGGAACGGGGGTGCTTGCAGACAAGGCACTGGGAATGACCTTTCACCTTGAGCTCGCAATAGTACTTCAGCACTCCGGCTTTGTAGGGATGCTTCCTTGGATAACACATATACACAGCCATGCATCATGTGCATATATACATCCTGAAAGAAGCACACTCGATATGTTTCATCAAGACACCGGATGAACCTTTTGGGGTCCTTTTCTGCTGCTGCCACACATTGGTCGATATCATCCCTAAGCATGGCACAAGGAGTCTGCAGGCCGCATAAAGCAATGTATGCATGCAAAGCTAAGTGGCTTCGACATGTTGTGATCATCAGCCATCTCCTTCTTGGTCAAGTACTCAAACTCCACAGACACCTGTAGCTCGCTCTCCTTTTCGTGGGTGGCGCTGTACTTGTTCATAAAGATCTCCTTTCAGGGGTCTACTCTACATATACATGCATGCACATGCCGTGCAGGGAGCTCGAACAGTGAACGTGCATACGAATGCTGTCCGGATTGTGCTGACACTGTGCGAACAACTTGTACACGTTCTCTCTCTCTTTGCCACCAGCTTGAAACTGGTCCCTCACTGTCTTCGAAATTCGAAAAACTCCTTTTGCATTTGGCTCCAAGGCTCGAAGCAGGCGCTTCGTAATTGCTCCTGATGTGGGTGGAGGGCTTTGGGGCCTGGCTTTCATGGCGCTCGGAGCAACACTGGCGGGAGCATGCTTTGCAGCTGCGGCCTTAATCGGCACAAAGGTTTTGGGAGGCAGCCCGGGGATTTGCTTTGGGATGGCAAGGCGGGTTGATGGAGCAGCTGCAGGCCTGGAATTGGGCGTGGTTGGGGTGGCTGGGCTCGGACTGGACTTGGCAGAGGGAGGGAAAAGCTGGCGGCAAACCTGTCTCCTACCCCACGGATCTTGGGCATCTTGGCTCGAAGTCGAGCGTGGAGATGACACCCCTGAGGGGGTTGTTGCTTTGGCCTCTGAGGGGGTTGTTGCTGGGGTCTCTACTTTGCACAAGCCCGGCTTTGTTGTGATCTGCTTTTGCAAATCCTCATCCAGCTGCGTCTCCAAGGCATCTGTTTGAGCCTTTAGTGCCTCGGCCAAGTGTCCTGCCTGTGTGGCTTCCTCTGCAAAACGATCTGCCTTCTCCTTTTCCTGTGCCAAACGATCGGCCTCTGCTTTCTCCCGTGCCAAACGATCAGCCTTTTCCTTCTCCTGTGCCAAACGATCGGCCTCTTCTTTCTCCTGTGCCAAACGATCAGCTTTTTCCTTCTCGAGTGCCAAACGATCGGCCTCTTCCTTCTCCTGTGCCAAACGATCGGCCTCTTCTTTCTCCCGTGCCAAACGATGAGCTTTTTCCTTCTCCTGTGCCAAACGATTAGCCTTTTCCTTCTCCTGTGCCTCCTGTGCCAAACGATCAGCCTTTTCCTTCTCCTGTGCCAAATGAGCAGCCATTTCCTTCTCCTCTGCCTCCTGTGCCAAACGAGCAGCCTTTTCCTTAATCGCCTGTGCCAAGCGATCAGCCTTTTCCTTTTCCTGTGCCAAACGACGAGCCTCTACTTTCTCCTGCGCCAAACGATCAGCCTTTTCCTTTTCCTGTGCCAAACGATCAGCCTCTTCCTTTTCCTGTGCCGCCTTTTCCTGTGCCAAACGATCTGCCTTTGCCTGTTCCTCTGCTATACGAGCTGCCTCTGCCTCTGCCTCTGCAATTTCCTCAAAGTTCAGCGTAGGTGCTTCAGCCAATCCTCACAAGTAGCATGCGTGCACACATACGGTTAATGCATCGGCCGATAACATGTGGGCGGGCTTGTATAAGAATCCAAGGCCTTGAGCAGCCTCTGCGAGACGACTTTCTTCTTGAGCTGCCGCCTGTGGATGGATCGACGGTACTGCTGGGCTGCAATCAGTGTACTTCGGGGTGTGGGAGTTCATGGGTTTGGTTTCTTATAAAAGACATTAAAGGGCTTGGAGGTTTCGGGGGGAGTGCGAAGCTAGAAACCAGGTTACATCTCATAACACAATCTATGGGATCCGGGACAAGCTTGCGTGTGTTTCTTCAAAACCTCATATTGGCTTTCGGAAACCCTGCCTAAAGCACCCTAACATGTTGATCCGTCCATGCAACATATCCATCGCATCCATGCATCAAATGCAGCCACTCTAGAATAGATAGATAATAGAGGTCGATTGTGTGTATACTAGTATACAACATATTACTTATCGAGGACCCCTCGATCTTTCTATATTATACGATGCACATATATTTTTATAATATATATATATACACTTATGTTATAAAATTATATGCTCATCGTATAATATAGAAAGATCGAGGGGTCCTCGATAAGTATATCGGCTCCGTTTTGTGAGCGTATCGGCGTCATTTTGTGAGTTCGGAGCCTCGATAGCTGAGTGTCGTTATTTGATTATGCACGGTTCCTATAGATAAATCAAACCGATATCATCGACTATTATAAGAGCTGTAGAGTACTTGCATGGGCGTACTTTACACTATGGCTATTTAGGGGTCTAGAGGGATTTTGTCAGGGATAGGATCCAAGCTTGCATCATCGTGCTACATAGGCAAACCCTTCCCCGGCCTTTGCTTCTCGAAGCAGGGCTTGCTGCTTTCTCAGAGCCTGACGTTTTACAATTGCGAGGTTCGCCAATTTAAAGTTTAGATCGACCCTAACCTTGCAAGCATAAGCAAGCCTAGCCTCGATCTGTCGCTGGATTTCAGCTTCATCATCAGGCTCTTCGGTCTTCACGACCCCACGTCTTGAAACATCTAGGAGGATCCGGGCTCCTCTGTCCAGGCTTTCCCTGGACTGCCCTACTGTACTACTAGACCGGCCTTGCTCCATTGCTTCGGGCCAGCAGGAACTGCAGTGACGTGCGATTTAGGCCTGCTGCGGTATGCATTTGCAAGCACCAAAACTGCTCCTGGGAGGGCGCCCGGCAGTTTCCGCAATTGTCCCGGCAATTTCCGCCATTGTCCCGCCACTTTCCGCTATTGTTGCGGGCCCCCAAAATCACCTCAGGACCTGTCCCGTCTCTAAAAAATCCAATATCGAGCCTCACAGAACCTGCCATTAGCCCTGGCAAGGGACCAAAATCGCAGAGCCAAGCCCTGGGAAGCACCAACAACCTATGAAAACCGAGCGAAGCTTGGCCCGTAATCCCGTCTAGGCAGATCTAGGCTTAAAGTTGGTCCATGAACATGGAGCCCGCGTGTGGCTCCAGGAATGGCAGGTCCCGGGGGAATCGATACTTATCGATCAAAGACTTGAAATCTTTCGGCACATGTACATTTTTGGCTACTCGTAAGTACAGGACTACCTCGTGCAAATTCGCCTCCTCCCAGTCTGTCTCATCCCAGGACAAATCGGCGAACAGCTGGTGCAAAGGCTGGTCCCACTTCATGCCCGAGTCGGAGACCTGCGGCAGCTGGGCATTATGGATCTGTATAGCGAAGATCGATAGATTGGGGGGTGTGCGGGAATTTCGCAAAAAGGCTTGTCGGGTCTGTGTACTAACTTGGCACGAACTGGGATCTCGGATTCATGTGTGGCCTGCACCGACAATCCTTGAAGAGCACGGGTTGGCTCAATCATCTCGATGATCCTTCGGGCAAAGCCAGGTGGGTATGTCCTCAGCAGAGTACGACTGCATGTATCATAGTGCTGGCTTTAACCAAGACCTTTTATCCAGGTATACTATTTATATAATATTAAACGAAGTCAAGAGTCGCAGTAGCCCTGAGGTTTTCATTACCCTGAAACTTCTTCCTCCCCGAACGATCTATGTACACCTTGGTGGTTTTGACGGTGGCACGTCGCTGTTCTCCAACGAGGTTTCCCATGTCAAAGGATTTGATGTAGGGTGTTGTAGACCACGTCAAGGATTTTTTCGGATTGGCATGACCCCAGTGCTTCATGTAGAACTTCTGAAGATAGACCTGAAAGGCCATAGACATGTCTAGACAAGTAAGTAAAGTGCACTGCACACAATCCAATTCATGTACAGACCAGTTGCAGGGACCCCGTGATCCTGAAGCACTTGTGACACCCAGGAAAACCGTGGATACCATCCCAGAACGGAGCTCCCCGGGTTCTCCACGATGAAGTGGTGGCCAAGAACCACCAGCAAAAGTAGAAGTAGAGAGGTCCTGTGATGCAGGCTTGAACATTATTGTCTTGATTTACACTACATATATTGTAGCTGAGCTATAGCCTAGAGCATGCACATCTTAAGATTGCAATCCTCGAAGTGGCTTCGTTTGCATCATGGACCGAATCCACATTGCTGTCTCCCCACGGAAACAACTCACTTCGCTTACTAGTGCCTTGGTTCATAGACACGAACGTCGAACACTCGATTCCCAGGATGGCAAGCGCTCCACGAGCTGAGCCGGAGAGGATCATGAGGACGGCAAGCCTGGGTGGGATTTGTTGCAGGCTTAGGGCGTTAGGGCATTATAGGGTTGTGGCTTATAATGGGTGTACATAGGAGTTTCATTTTGCAGAAGCCGATAGACTTTTGGGCTTGAAAACATTGCAATACTTTGCTGATTTGTCTTTGCGAGCCATGCATTATAAGATTAACCCATGCTACCCATTGCAATAAAAGGCCCTGGGTTCCCGAGGTTGGTGTTCAAGTATAACCGAGCCATATCAAGGGATCAGGGATATTGTACGTAGAGTTCATGCTTTGTGAGTGTTGGGTCCTGGATAAAGGGTAGGCTCTGGCTCTCTCTCTCTCTCTCTCTGTCGTCCCTCTCTCTCTCTCTCTCTCTCTCTCTCTCTCTCTCTCTCTCTCCTCTCTCTCCTCTCTCTCTCTCTCTCTCTCTCTCTCTCTCTCTCTCTCTCTCTCTCTCTCTCTCTCTCTCTCTCTCTCTCTCTCTCTCTCTCTCTCTCTCTCTTCTCTCTCTCTCTCTCTCTCTCTCTCTCTCTCTCTCTCTCTCTCTCTCTCTCTCTCTCTCTCTCTCTCTTCGCGAACCTACCTCCCCCCCACACCCAAATCCCGCCTATAGGCAAATTTCTCCTTCCCCCACACAGGGGCGAATTCTGGAAGTGATTGCGTGACCTCATGGAAACCCGCTCCCCCTCCCCAAACCACCCTAACCCGGCTCATGCCCATGCATGCTGAATCTCTCCAATTCCCCCAATAAAAAGAACAGGCCAGCTAGCTAGTATATTGTTTTGGGTCCCGATAGCTATATGTCGTGGAAACACGACAGGGCAGCTCATGCTTTAGCCTAGAATCGAGAAGCCACTCGGCTGATTCAGATGAAGTGAGGATCTCCCCTCAGGGTCGTAGTCTTTGTCTGCAGCGACGGCCGTGTATCCTGCTGCCCGGGCCATTCTAGTAACCCTGGCCTTGCCAGCATACAGCTCGATGACATCGTAGGTAAAGTCACAAAACTCTGGCTTGGGGTTTAGCCAGTACACCAGCATCACCACAGCCAGGAAAACCTGGGATGGATGGGCATTGGCGGGCCGAGGCTGCAAAGCACAACATGGGCCTTGGCTATACACTTGCGGTCAAGTGTCTTTCGGGGCTTTGAGTGCCATCAGTTTGCGAATGCAGGACTCAAAACCGGCTTCATCAATCATGGCGCTTGAGTCGGCTCGACTCGAAGTATCTGTAAACCACGGCACTTATCCAACCCCTGCCAAGAATGTTTCATGCATGCATGCCTGCATTGCGTGCGTGTGCATGTGTGTGTTTGCCATGTGTCTGCAGAAGCTTGAGATGAAGCCATGTGTCGCTGGAATTCTCGTCGCTGTCACAAACCAGACTGCAGCATGTGGAAAGTGTCAGATCAAATTGCAAACATCCGCGTACGACCTGTGATCAGACTGCAATTCACTATATCACATCCAGCTTCGAATCTGGCCTTCATCTGAGGCTTCGGGCACTTGTCCACGGCGGGCAAGAAAGGCTTGCCCTCGTTTCATGGTCCAGCCTCGGCTTCAGGGTTTATTTCTCAAGCATTGATCAAAGTATGGCGTTCGCATGAAGCTTGTCACTGCATGCCTGCATGTGCACGTGATGCAGCAGAGATCGATGCATCTAGTCTTTTTTGAGCTGCTGCATCCATGACGATCTAGATCGATGTAGCCCCCAGCTTGCAACAGCTTCCCCCACACAGTGCCGCCCGAGCTTAAAATCAAACGTCGCTGCAGGATGTGGCATGTGAGCACGGATCTCTAATTTGGCAAACTCAGCAGATCATAACCGTTCGGCTACTGCTTCCCCCCAGCAGACACTGGTGTCTGCACCAGGAACTCACGGGCCGCCTTCTTCGCGACCTGGAGGCACTCCTCGTAGCTGCCCCGGGCGGGCAACTTGGACTTCGTCGCAGCCCAGAAATCATCCTGCAAAGACTATAAGGGTTGAAGTTAGGTTTGGGCTTTGTTTCGGGATATGGGTTTGGGGATTGGGTTAGGTTTAACGATAGGTGATCTTACATTGTATTATATTATAGCACTGCATCAAGTTTGGGCCTTTCTTTAGGGATCTGGGTTTGGGGTTTGGGGTTTTTAGACTTATCTAGGGGATCGTTGTTAATATAGCACTGCTAAGCTAAGTTTGGTTGGGCCTTGTTTAATTAGGGATCTGGATTTGGGGTTTGGGGTTTGTGTTTTTAGAATTATCTAGGGGATCGATTACTTAATGTCAATGTTAAGTTTGGGCCTTGTTTCGGGATCTGGGTTTGGCGTTTATCTAGCCGGGATCTTAGCACTGCATTCCCCGAGCAATATGTCCTGCTGTACACTGGAGAACGTCGCGGACAAATCCGATCTGAAAGCATCCCGAATCGCCAACCAATGGTTGAGGCTCCACTCCGTCTTCGGCCTGGCACGGCGGGCGAAGCTCTTCTCATCCTCAGAATGGCGCTTGCGCTTCAGTGGCTTGGCATCGCTAGCATGGGGCTTGCTTGGGGCTGGCTTGGCCTTCGGCGATGTGGGCTTGGAAGCTGCTTTGGATTTCGGTGATGCCTTTGCTTTAGGTTTCCCGGCTGCCTTTCGCGATTTCGGCTTGCTCGCTGCCTTGCCTTTCGGGGATGTCTTCGGCTTGCTTGCAGGTGGCTTTTCTGGGGTTGGGTGCTCATCCTCCTGCCGCCTGCCTTTGGTCTTGCACTGGGCTTTCTTGGGATTCACGGCTTTCTCAGGGGTCTCGAAGTCGCCAGCAGCCTCCGCCTCCTTTTGAGACTTCTTGGTAGCTTTCGCTTTCGGCGACGGTGTCGACTCCACAGCCTTGCACCCCGCACCACCACGGCCGCGGCCGCGGCCACGGCCACGGCCCGCACCTTTACCGCCACGTCCCCGACCTGCACGGCCACGTCCACCCCTTCCTCTACCACGTTTGCCCGCAGCCGCCTCCTCCTCGTCACATCCTGTGCCTCGAACCGCCTGCACCTGCTCGAAGCGGCACGGCTTGCCCTCAGGGGAGCTGAACTCTTTAAACAAGTTTGGGTTTTGGGCCTTGTACAATATAGGTCTATATAGGGGTTTGGATTTAGGTTTAAACGGCTCGAAATGATATTTCACAGCCAAACCGCCTCGAAGTCTGCTACATCAAACTCCTTTGCATCCGCTTCCCCCTGAGGTGCTTCGTCCTCAGCCTGCTGCTGCTGCTGCTCCGAGGTGTCACCTGGGACACGAGAAGCTGGGCTGCACTTGGAAGTGGGGTCTTCGCCAGCAGGAGTTTCGGGCTCCACTTGAAGAGGCTCGCGAGCAGGAGTTTCGGGCTCGGCTTGAAGAAGCTCTGCCCGTGGCTCCTGCCAGGTTTCTGGGGTCTAATGATATATAGGAAATCTCTTAAAGTTTCAGGTCCTTCATATCCCCATTCTCGTCATCACTGATGTCGATGCAATCATCTGTGAAGGGCACAATGGAATTGATGTCAAAGGGACAGGTGTCGGCCGTAGTCGGATCGCCTCTGCTGTGTACTCTCTGTTACATACTGCATGCGTATAGTGCGGCAG